TAGATAATTCATGCGGAGAACGTATTCTTCCATTACCTCATATACTATTTAAAGTAACAATCGTCGGTCTAACGGTATGGTTACAATGATTTTGCCGAGTCAAGAAACTTTCACACAATCCTCAAGTTTTATAGATTTTTCTTATTGATCGTGTATTTATATAACCTTCTAGAAGCTTCCGGTGTTTTTCTAGGTCATAAACACATTGTTTACTAACAATTCAGTGCTGGACAGGATTAGACTTAAAATAGCATATCGCCTTAATGTATCCTAATGTGTAAAGAAAAAGACATTTACTGTACATGTAGTATGCTCTTATTTCAATGTCCTTGTAGTGGGCCTAATTCTGACACATGTATAATAAAGATTTTATAATTATTATTATTAAACGCGAGTAAGGTCAATTATGAACATGAAGCATCGTGTGACCTCATTTCACTTTTAATTGACTTCGAGAAACTTCTATTGAAAATTCCATCAATTTCTGCCATGCGAAGTTTAGCTTATGTAATGATATCAAACCTATGACATATTATGCTGGATGTCAGTGGCAAGAAAAGGTTTGACAGGATGAAAAGACACAAGACACGTGTTTCTAAAAGCATTTCAAAATTCTGTTTTTGAGCATAATAGTTCATATTATGAGAAGTAAATATTTGGATGCATCCTGTCTCCCATGGAAAGAGGGAAATAGCTTATCTTGCAAGTACTGAAGTATAGGGAACAACTGAACCCTTTCACCACTCCCGTCCATTATTGCTGGCATATTGTCGACGGAAAGAGACCGCTAGGTTTTACTTACTACGAGTGAGTATAATATGAGTATCGTACATATAATCACCATAGAAAGGTTCTTTCTCCTAGTAGGCTATATTAGAACTTAAATTGTTTCTATGCATCCGTATAGCCATTGTTAACTAATCTTCACAATGGAAAACGAACTTCCGTGTTATTGTTTGACTGCAATAGCCACCTTTCTTGTATAACTGAATTTTGTCAGAACAGCAGCATTAGCCTACTCTTTTTCGATTTCCAACTCGAGAATAATTTTTAACGTACATAGCCTTTAGCACGCGGAGCTTCGGTTTATTGACTCATCCGAACAAATAGACGTTTTTTGAGTTTTGTTCAGCCGTAAGATGATTGGTTTGATGCAGATTAATGACAGTTGAATTTACCGACATCAGTTAAACTGTAAAACCGCACCAGTACGACATCTTGTACTGCATGATTTGTGTTTATATATTGCATGTATAATGTAGGACTATGATAAATAATAGATAATTCATATGTAGACAGTCTCTGCTGAATAACCAAGGCATTCGAATATCGAATCTATTGATAATAAAATCGATTGAAGAATCTTTATACGGTAAAATGCATATGCACTAAGGCTTATCTGGACCAGCACCCTTTTTTGCTGGAAGAAGAATTGGTTTTTCTAAAAATAATATTTGTCCCATTGCAAAATATACAAGATACTTGCCTAAAATTTAATGACAATTTTACCACACAGATTCCAACAACAGTCTGTAATATGGATTAATATGAATTGATATAACAAGTGTAAAACACTTCATAATGCTTGTTATTACATCATGTTATGTAATAAACCATATTGTAATATTTTCATTGAAAATAATCTTTATCTACACCCTCATGGATACAACATATTATCTGTCATTATAAATATCTTAATAGACATAATCAAATATATTAAAACATGTTATACTTCAATTTCAGAGATAAAAATCTGAAAAATAAATAATAGTACATGTGAAACCATTTAGTGAAGGTTTTACTGTCGCTACTGTTTATTTTTTAAAAATACATACTTTGATAATATTTTTATAATACACTTTTAATCTCAAACTATGATTTTTTTTCGTGTAAATATGTAGAAAAGATGGTAATAGGAAAATGATATGTTGTATTGAATAAAAGGGGTCAACGTGAGAGGTGGGTAGCCTATAGTGGTTTTGTCCAAAGCAATGAATGATTGAACAAAATCAAGAACATAGAGAACGAAAGAAATTCAAACAGCATGGACATTTCTTAAATACTGTCTAACAAGACTAAAGAACGATATATGTAGAGAGATATAGATCCACCCTCAAAACTACAGGGATATAAAATAACCATGAAGAAGAAATCAAAGTAGAGACAATTAACGATAAATTTCCGACTACAACACCATAAGAGATATAACAATAATTGATTTGGAAATATAAAAATTAAGGGATATAATTACATCTATAGAAGAAAGATATAATCATAAAAGAGGAATTTCCAACGAAAGAACCAAAAGAGATATAATCATAATCCCCTAAAAAAATCGTCAAGAGAGATACTTATCTGAACGTGATAGATAAAGGAATATCAAAAATGAGAGATATAACTATATGGAGGAGAATTTACAGAGAAGACATAACTCACATTGGGGAATATTTACCCAGAGAGATAGAGAAATATCTATCCTGAAATGCATAACCAAAATGAAGGAATATTTATCCAGAGAGATATGACCATAATGGATGGATATTTATCCAGAGGGATATATCCATAATGGAGGAATATTTGTCCAGAGGATGGAGAAATATTTATCCAGAAAGACATAATAACTTTTCACACGAGGAGGTATATAAATCATAAGTTAATAAATATTTCATAATGAAATGTTGTATGCCACACTCGTCATTGCTGCAAACACAAAATGAAATGAAATGAAATTAATGGAGTTTTACGTCCTTCTTTTCTGCACCATATGGGCTAATGAAGACGGGCAACGGCATGCAGGGTGCAATGAAGGAAATTCTGCCAGGACAGTGGCATTAGCCTGCTCTTTTTCGATTTTCAATTGTCGATGGATATTTACCGTTCACAGCCTCGGCTGTAGCATACGAGGCCTCGGTTTATTGTCCCATCCGAACGACTAAACGCCATTTCATGTCAGCCCCTCTTACCTGCAACCGCTCTTACCTGCATCACTGACAAGGTCCGAAGGTTTTATCTCGACCCATCCGGGATTAGTGAATAAACGTCTAACTCACTGAGCCACCGCGGTTCCCAACAAAAACAAAGGCAAACACAAATGTTCAAGAGAGGTAACTGATGAAAATGATTTTGTTCAATTTTAATATCTCAAGGGAGTGAAAATGAAATGAAATGACTGGAGTTTTACGTCCTACTCTTCTGCACCTTGTGGGCTAATGAAGACCTCAAGGGAGTGAAACGATAACAAAAGATACATGCCGAACAATAAAGAAAATGGACGATTATTAATGCAGAAATATTAATCAAGGGAGAAATATTAAACAGGAAAGTTTATAATAATAAAATATTTTGTAAATGAAAATCGGCAAGATTTTAAAAAACATTTAGCTACAATTTATAATAACTTTCAGTTGTCAAGTCGTCTGCATATTTAAATTGCAGGAATCGCAAGAAAAACAAGTTCGTTAATAAACAAAAATGACCATTACATGAAAGAAAACTTTTCGCCCATAAAATTTTCATTGTTATTTGTATTGATTTTCCTATACCGCCGGTATTGAAGTTTCTGGACTATCGTTTTCTAAGTAGGCCTTTGATTTTGAGAGAATAATCCTTGAGGAATTAAAAGGACAGAATTCTATTTTCTATTTGAATTCGTCTCGTTCTGGTTGCTTAATGAACAGGAAATAAATACAGATTTATTTAAACTACACAAAGACCAAAACCTTCAGATATTCTTCTTGTTTTTATTATTCTATAGTGATCAAATTTAAGCCATGTATTTAAAGTAAACGTGTTTCTAATTTATACCGTCTTAGATTCTGACACGAGTGTAAGTATGAGGCGCATGTCTATGATCCTCTCATTTCAAAATACTCCCCCACCGTCTAAAATATCAAGCCTAGTGACAAAACCAATTATATTTGTTGTCACAATCTATACTATGCTAAAGACTAAACTTGATTTCGGTGTTAAAGAGCTTTTGCTTCTAATCCAATGAAATCTTGGTAATTATTGGACAGCGGGAACTGTCTCGTGCCATCAGGTTATCAATGAAATCAATGCTGAAGATGCGATCCTTGAAGAAGTATATCATAGCAGGGGAGAAAACAAACAAGACTATCTTGCCGAAATCTAGAAATCTTACTACTTAATGAAAACATTCACTTCCCGTTCCAGAAATTCATGAAAGTAATTTCCGTTAATTTATGTATAAGAATGATTTTGAGTGTCAGAAAATTTATAGAAAAAATGATGCTATATTAAAATTTGCTGACATCTGGTTTCCGAGATATGGCAGAAATAATTCAATGATGTTTGCTAATAAAGTATTTTTGGGAGGTTGCCGTTGATTATATTTTATTCGAGTATATTTTGTGAAATAGAGCACTCTGTTATAAAAATCACCTTAAAACTTGAATAATTGAATTAGCCAGGAAGCGAAATGTTGACTTGAGCTGCCAATCTCTGCAAGGGGAATACATGTTTACCTATTCTCTACCAATCATACACGCCAACAATATTATTCTTTCTGTGGCAGCGAATTAAAATACAGACCCAAGTCAACGCCTGTTAAATACCTCACTCATCAAATTTCAATCTTTACCTATTTCAATATATGTATAAAATACTAAAGGAATTCTAAACTTTTGTTGTTAAGTTTTTGAAGTGTCTGGAAGTGTACAGGTCTATCGATGGTTAAAGGACAAGAATATCTATATAACATGGACTGTAATACAATGTATTATCAATCACAACCTTATCACGAATCATCACAATATCACAATAATTCACCAGTTAATAATTATGGATATCAAATCAATGGATCTGATCCGGAAACAGAATATGGTGATACGTGGCCAGAACAACCATTCTATTCTGGATATTACATTGGAAACCAAGACGACAGTATTAAAAATGACAATATGAACTATACATTGGATTATTCATCTCAAATATCACCATTTACCTATCCTGGAAGAAATATTTCAGCTTATAAAAAGAAGGAACCACAATACGGCCAGGCTCGAGACGGAGCAACGGAGAGAGAAAGGTCAAGAATGCATTTATTGAATGATGCTTTCGATCAGCTGAGAAAAGTCGTGCCAAAATCGAATTTAAGTGAACATCAAAAACTATCTAAAATTGCAACACTTCGCTTAGCGATCCACTACATCTCAGCTTTAGGCAGTATTTTAAAATCTACCGGAGTGGAAATTAAAGTTATACCAGATACTATAATTGGTGACAGAAGAGGAAGGCGACGTGGTGGACGGAAGAGAAAATTAACGGAATTAAACACTAATACCACCAATAATAACATGACGTCACGTCCGGTAATGAGGAATGACTGTAGTGTGTTTTATAATAGGACAATGGATAAATCAATTAAATTGGAAAATAACAATAAAAATCGTTCATATTATTAATAGAGATCATAATATAATTTTTTGACAGTAATTCTTGATTGGAGTATTTTTTATTTTGGATTGCATTATAAGGTAATATGAAACAATTTTGGATTTATTTTTTTTATGTTATTTTTCTAATTACGTATTCAATCAAAATTCATTTTGATCATACTCTTGTATTTTGAATAATAGTAGATAATTTTGATCTGCTTTTTATGAATTTTATAATATCATATTAACGTTATGCAACTAATTTGTGTTTTTTTTTTATTTCTAAATATCCAATTAATTGAATGAATAATTTATACAATGTATCTTAATAAATGTTATGTTATTTGAATTAACGTATTTAAATTTTTTCACATTCTGAATCAATCAATGCGTAAGGTATGTGCCCAGAATAGTAAAGGAATTGGCAGTGCTATTTTTTAGAAATACCATGTGAACAATTGACAACCAACATAATTTCTCCAGCTTTGTCCTTGAATTTCCTGGACAATCACTGCTTTATTATTGATGGATACTTATTTACTGTAGATTTGCAGCAACAACATTTCCGTGAATTTATGTTGCTATATTTATGTGATTTAGTCAATGACGTCTGTCAATAATTATGAAATTTGTGAATGGCTCTACCTGTCGCAAATATCTGTTTATTGACACATTTAAATACAAGCGGCTGGTGGTTATAAAATAATGGTTTTTTTTTTGCCTGGGGCATATAATAAAACTTGTTGCATTTTACGAAATGGGTTACAAGGGACGACAAATAACGCCCTATAATACGTTGTAAAATATGGAAAAAAATTAGGAATATATCCTTTCAAATTTCCGGAAAACTTCTAGATGAAAGATGATAAGTAAGGATAATAAACAGCGTATGATACAATATGTAAGGGATTTCTTAAAAATTCCGTGTTATATGGAAATGAGAATAGGTACCAGATATATTTTCAGTCGTAAAAGTTTCTCTGAACAGCTGGTAGTTTCATTACACTTATTACCAATGTTAAACATCTTACGGACAAGTTGATTTCACAGGACCCCAGCTTGATTTTCAATTAGCTTAGAAAAATATTTGTACTTGTTAAAACATGCAATTTACTTCAATCCCAGTTGTACACTAAATATTTGACTATACTGACGATTGGCAGCTTTCAAAACATCCCATCTTTCATAGAAGATATATTTTCATATATTTTTACTGATATTAAAATTAACAATTTCTTTTAACATTAAGGAATACAGTCGCTGTCAGGTCTCCAAGGTTCAAAACAATATGCCCTGGTTTCAGTTTCAAATTGGCCTCAATAAGTCCCTAATTTCAATAAAATGGTTTCTTGAAGTATAATTCTGATAGGATTGTCATAAAGAATACCCAAAAAAATAAACGACTTTTATAATAAAAATGTCACTCAAAGATCAAGATGAATTTTTTAAGTGTAGAAGTATATAGAACTACCCAAAAGGGTTGATAAAATTTATATAAAACTACCAAAAGGGGTAAAAAAAAGAGGTTAAAAAATAATTACCATAGATGTTGGTAAAATTAACATAAACTACCTAAGGGTGTTTTTAAAGTTCATATAAAACTACCTACACGGGTTGATAAAGTGTATATAAACTACCTAAAAGCGTTTTAAAGTTTATATAAAACTACCTAAACGGGTTGATAAAGTTTATATAAACTACTTAAACGGGTTGATAAAGTTTATAATATACAACTACCTACACGGGTTGATAAAGTTTATATAAACTACCTAAAAGTGTTTTTAAAGTTTATATAAACTACCTAAACGGGTTGATAAAGTTTATATAAAACTACCAAAACGGGTTGATACAGTTTATATAAAACTATCAAAATGGTTGATAAAGTTTATACAAAACTACACAAAAGGGTTGATAAAGTTTAAATAAAACTACCCAAAAGGGTTGATAAAGTTTATAGAAAACTATCAAAAGAGTCGATAAAGTGTATTTAAAACTACCAAAAGGGTCGATAAAGTGTATTTAAAACTACCAAAAGGGTTGATAAAGTTTATATAAACTACCTAAAAGTGTTTTAAAGTTTATATAAAACTACCAAAAGGGTCGATAAAGTGTATTTAAAACTACCAAAAGGGTCGATAAAGTGTATTTAAAACTACCAAAAGGGTTGATAAAGTGTATTTAAAACTACCAAAATGGTTGATAAAGTTTATATAAAACTACCTAAAAGTGTTTTAAAGTTTATATAAAACTACCAAAGCGTTTTTAAAGTTTTTATAAAACAACCAAAAGGGTCGATAAAGTGTATTTAAAACTACCAAAAGGGTCGATAAAGTGTATTTAAAACTACCAAAAGGGTTGATAAAGTGTATTTAAAACTACCAAAAGAGTCGATAAAGTGTATTTAAAACAACCAAAAGGGTCGATAAAGTGTATTTAAAACTACCAAAAGGGTCGATAAAGTGTATTTAAAACAACCAAAAGGGTCGATAAAGTGTATTTAAAACAACCAAAAGGGTCGATAAAGTGTATATAAAACTACCAAAAGGGTCGATAAAGTGTATTTAAAACAACCAAAAGGGTCGATAAAGTGTATTTAAAACAACCAAAAGGGTCGATAAAGTGTATATAAAACTACCAAAAGGGTCGATAAAGTGTATTTAAAACTACCAAAAGGGTCGATAAAGTGTATTTAAAACAACCAAAAGGGTCGATAAAGTGTATTTAAAACAACCAAAAGGGTCGATAAAGTGTATTTAAAACAACCAAAAGGGTCGATAAAGTGTATTTAAAACTACCAAAAGGGTCGATAAAGTTTATTTAAAACTACCAAACGGGTCGATAAAGTGTATTTAAAACTACCAAAAGGGTTGATAAAGTGTATTTAAAACAACCAAAAGGGTCGATAAAGTGTATTTAAAACTACCAAAAGGGTCGATAAAGTGTATTTAAAACTACCAAAAGGG